CTCAGAAACCATTTTTTAAATTGGTTTATCTCAGGTAATCCTGGATAGCATGGGATTGGACAAGGAAGAACAAACTTTGGTAGCATGAAAATCAACTGAACTTCCCCACTTCAATTACTCTCTTTTTATGGATGTATTTTTAGTTTGTTTAAGATTGTTCTGGCAGAAGGTTAGGAATGAGAAGTCATAAGAATTAAAAATGGTATATGCACTCAAAATACTGTCACATGTATTACATTTAAATGCATTATATGTCAGTTGCTATTTTTCATTATTTTTTTCATCCTTGTTAAGAGTCAAGTTGTAAGTTGAATATTTATCTGTGAATACAGGTATGCTCTAGAATCTGTCTATGGTAGAATTGGGGTTTTACTTTTAGAGAGGTATTTAAAAATAACTCGTATATTATGTCATAGCTAGCAGTATCTATTGTCATTCAGACTCCAAAAGGACACTGTACAGACTGCAGAATGCAGCTGATGACACTCATAGCATATGGTTACCTTTTTGTGAACTATTTGCATTGAACTTCTGTTTGTCCTACATCTGAAAATGATGAAAGAATCTAATCTAGATTAGATCTAGATCTGTCTAATCTAGAAGTCATGAGATGAAAGAAAGTGAATTTCTTTTGTTAATTTTTTTTCTTTTCTTTATTTTGGAGAACTGTATGAGAATATAACTTGCAATGCTTTCTGTTAAATATGCATAAAGATGTTCAAGAACCATGAGGATTAATAAAGTTGAAAAAATATGGAGAAAAATTTAAGAAAGCGCAGTCAAGGGAAGGTATAAAATATTACTGGAGCATTTTTAGTGGTGTATACTTACTGTTAAATTCCTGCTAGAAATGAATACAAGAGTTGGAAGGAGAGGAGAAGTTAAGAGTGTGATAAGTCAACCTCATATACCTGGTGAGGGAAAAGAGATTATGAAAGGGAGAAAATATGCCACAAAATGTTGAAGTAGCAATTATGAGAAGAACTTTAGAAGAAATTATATTTCTGCATTTAATTTTTAATAAAATAATGTAACTACTAAATTGATTTTGTTTCTGCAGAAGATGTCAGGATTTCCTCAAATAATGTCAGTATTTTCAGTACTTCAGTTTTTCATCTGTTTATTTTAATTTTACCTATTTTTTTCCATGTGGCGTATTAGAAGTGGACTACTATACAGTGAAAGCTTCTGATAAAGAATGCAATAAAGAAAGCACAGAATTCAATATTTATTTGTTACTGTGATTCTTTTTGATAGTAGAAATCAAATGTATGCCCCTTTGTTGCATTCATAGATGGACTCCTTTAATATTGCGGTATAGATTTGAATTTTTTCTTGAAGTGCTTCAGCGCCCAGTCTGTTGCTGCATTTCTGTATTAGCAGCAACATTGAAAGATATATCATTTTTGTGTTTCTCCTAGATTGTTTTTACTCCAGTTTGGGTTAAGTTCTTCATATGAAATGAAATAAAACCCACTCTTACTTACATTTCACGAGCTTGTATAGAGGCAGCTATGCAGTCATGATTTAGTAGTGCAGTCTGATTGATTTCAAAATGCAGAATTAGGGGTCGGTTTTCCCAATTTTTTTACCTCAGCTCCCAAAATATGAAAATTTGGAAAGCACTTAAGACAATAATTACTTGTACAACTATTGCTCCTGTTGCTATGTAGCTGTTGTTACATAGTACTTTTCATATGCTTTTTATTTAGGAGATTAAAAAGTATTTCAGGGACTAAAGACTGGAATTTCAGTGATGACATCTACAATATCAAACAGTATGTAACTTCTGGTAGTTATATCCTCACTCTCATTTATTTTTTGGAAATCAGACTCCTAGCATTAAGGAGTTGGTTTTATTTCCACTTTCACTGTCTCCATCCAGGACTGTACCATCTAAATTCACAATGGGTAAAAACAAGGTTTTAGTTTAAACCCTTTTATTTGTGTCTATTCACATGAAGTATGCACAGAAAATTTTAACATCCTATTGCCATGAAAAGATTGATATATTCAGTGCCAAGACAAGAAAGGGCTATTGTCACCTTTTGGTTTTGATCTGTTGTTTTCATAGCAGATTTTTTCATTTTGACTTGGAATGTGATTTTGCTTCCTCTTCAGATCACTATGAAGATACTCAAAAAATAAATAGTATTCGCCAATAAACAATGTATTATGGAAGAAAAAAAATTATATGGTGTTGTAAGTAGAGAGATGCCATGGGAAAGGATGCAAATGAATTAATGAATGACAGTCCTCTGAGACATCAAAAGGTCTGTTTCACCAGGTCACAGTGTTTCTTTCTATGTACTGTTGCCTGGAGCACTCTGGGTTCCAACAGTATAGAGAGGATACTCTTTGATTCTTCCCAGAATCAAAGAAGGGTAAAATCAGTTTCTTTTGGTTTTCATTGGAGCAAATTCACTTTGGAATAATTTTCTTTCTTGAAAGTTTGTTGAAGTGTGCTTTAGATGCCTTAGTTACATGATGGTTTTTATGGTTCTTGACCAACGAGCTGTCAAACATTGCTTTTGCCCTGTTGTATTCAAACAAGTACGACTGAGTCAACTCGAAGTGTAAATTGAGATCTTGTATAGTGTCAGACTGTCTATATAGTATCTAGACAAAAATCAGTAGATACTATGGGAATAGATTAATTCCTGATGGGTGTGAAATCTGTCAAAATAACCTCATGTAGGAGGTTGTCCTGTGTGTTGATCAGGTATGTTTTTTTCCCCTGCTATTTCACTTGCCTGCTGGAATAGGGTAATCTTTTAGGAACACTGCTTGTGTATTTTGCAGTACGAAATCAATCTTTACTCTCCTATTACATGAAGTAACATACAGGTTGAGGAAGCAAAGTATGAAAAGAGCTGCACAGGAAAGGACACATGATAATTTACTTAATTGTCTATATCTCAGAAATTCCTTTATATGACCCTTATTTCTACCCAGTCATGGCTCCTGAGTGATAATTCTGGGTTTTTTTCCCCTTCTTCATAAGCATGTGAAATAAACAGATAGGAGACTAAAAGTTCAATTCATTTAGAGGAAAAGATAAGAGCATGCAAAGTGGTACCCCAGAAAAACGCTTTGAAATATGACAGGATTTCTTTTCTATGCAAGTGTAACTCACCTAGATAAGGTTTCACTAGTGCTGCAGAAGATGACTTTGTAGGCTACTCAGGTGAGTTTGCTGCTTAATACTTGATGTGGTATATTTGCCTTTCGATTGGTTTCAAGTGTTAAGTTGCAGTTCAGTTGAGGAGATTAGTTAGTGTGCAAGTCTGATTCAGGATAACCTGTCTGACTATTCTGAGTATTCACAGTAAGTAGTTTACTTCAGTTGGAAACTTAATTTGAGCAATACAGAACAAACATTTGAAATAGCTAGTTGCACTTTTGTACCATCCTGTCTCAATTCATTCTCCAAATTGCTGGAAAACATCCCATTTAAGACAGAACTCAAATATCTCTGATTTCACTTCACAAATACACATATGCTTCCCAGTTTCTGCCCAGTGTATAATGAAACTAAGTATTAGTATGATGTACCTGTGTACTCATAAATTAGATGCCTTAAAGAGCTGGAGCTTTTATAAAAAATGTGTTTGTGTGAATTTTTAGCTCAGAGCCAAGAGTCTCTTTCAGATAGGTGAGATTTTTAATGATGTTTTAAGGTTGTCTCCAAGTACAGACTTTTGTTTAGATAAATGTTAAGTAAGTAGTAATGAGCTAGAAGGAAGACTCGAAGGAGCTGCTTACTCCAATTCCATGAGGACCTGGGGAGTGGGAGGGTAACAAACAAAATTACTGATGCTTTCCATAGTAATGTGGACACATACCTTTTTGAAGATTCAGCTAAATCATTTCTGCCAGAAACACTTTATTACTGTAAGTGGAATAATATATCAAAGAACAAATGTTTTGTCTTTTGAATGGTGTAATGTGACTTCATATGTACTGTTTTACGTGGTTTTGCTCAGCATATTTTCATTCTTTTTTTGTCTGACATACTTATGAACCAGATGTAAGCTTTAGACACTGGAAACTCCCATATATCATCAGATGTATTGTAGAATAATCTAGAGGATTATTGTCTTGTTGATGATTCTTAATGTTTCTATACACACTTGATTTTAGCTTGTGTATTAAAAGCAAAGCAGTTGCACTGCTGTACTGACATGAAAGTTTTATCAGTTTCGTACCACAGTTATAGTGTCACTGCTAGAAGAATATTATAGATTAAAGTCCTTTTGATTTAGAAAGAGATGGGACAAAACAGAATGTGGAATTAAAGCAGACTCTTGGAGAAAAACACAGAGTTCTAATAGGCATTGAAGAATGAGGGTGTTTAATGCAAGTGTCATGAGAGTCAAATGAAATTATTGCAGAAACTTAAAGTTCTCATTTTATGGCAGTGAGATTTTTCTGTATGTGGGTGAACTAACCCATAGTATGTGATGAGCAGTGTTGTGTTATTTTCCTTGAGCTGCAAATTCAGCCAGACTTAATTATCTTTAAAAGTATTTTGTATCATAATAATTTTGATAACCTCACTCAGTAATAATTTCTGTTTACTGTGACAAATTCTGGAAATTTTGTGGGATTTGGAATTCAGCTCTGGCTTGATTTTTGATGTGCTGTAAGTACAAGTTAAACAGTATTCTAATGCATTCTTACTCCATAAACACAAGTACAACTTCTGTAAGTGTAAATGACTGTTATTGCATAAGCTTCACTGAGTAATTTCCGTTCTGTTCTGCATTTATAGGCTTCGTTATTCGGTAGCAGCAGGGTATTTGTTTCCTCATTTGCATTACTGTGTCTTACCGTCCTTCAGCTTTGAGTATGATTAAAGTACTAATAGAATTGAAATAATGCTGTAAAAACTGCATATATCAGATAGTTAACAATTTGTAGGCCTAAAACAGAACATGAATGCTCTTTTGTGCTTGCTTTTTCTCTATGAACAGGTTTGTTTTTTTTTTCCTAAATAGAGGCTCACAGGACAGCAGCAGGAGATAAACAGCTTAATGCAGAGAAAAAGTGCTGTGGATGAGGAAAATGCCCGTTTGAAGAATGAATTTTGTAATTTGAACCGGAAATTTAAAGATAAAAGCCAAGAACTTAAGGTATATTGACTTGTACAGAGTTTCATAAGACTGTAGCTTTGAAGTAGTTCTTTAAGCAGTGTCAGCCTTTGTGGCACAGAAAGTGACAAGCTTGGAGAAAAAATTGCCTTAGGCCTTGCTATACCTTACTGTTTTCTCACATACCAACTGAGAAAGATGCATTAAAGCCAAGAATCCAAGCTTTATAACTTTCAGATAAATAGTTAATGATGGAAATGGAGCAAAGAAAGTAGAAGTGTGAAGATGTGGCTTCTTGTAATTAGATTCTGATGGGACTGGCATTATTAATTGATAAAGCTGAGGTCTGGGAGGATATGTCTGTGTGGGTCTCAAAAATAGCTGGGGACAGCATCAAAGGCAGCTTGATCAATTAATGGGCTCTTTGCAAATGTGTACTCATCAAAGCTGTCATCCAGCTAAAAAATATGACCCTTCCACCTGCATGAAAGAGGCCAATAAAAGTGCACAGGTGACCTTGGCCATCAAATATAGAAGCTGCTGTGAGGGTAAAACTGCACAGTTTATATTTGCTGATTAGTTCTCACTTTTTTGTTTATCGGCCCTTGTGGTACTGTTCTACAGGACACCAAGGAGTGTGCACAGAAGAAGGAAGAGCAAAACAGACTGGTTATAAAAAACCTGGAGGAGGAAAAGAAGGGATTAAATATATGCTGTGCTGACCTGCTAAGTGACCTGGAGAAACTGAGGAAGCAGGAGGCACAATGGAAGAAAACAAAATCTGGCAATAATATCAGAATAAAGGTATGAAGTGGAACGGATTCCTGGATGTTATTTGAGAATTAACTTCTCCAGATATTTCACTACAAGTTATTTTCTTTAAATAGCAAGTTATATATTCAAATCTACCAGTGGGGACTTGCATTCATTTGCATTCTATCACTTAAGACCCACAGCTTTTTAAAAATTGATGCTGCAAAGCAGGAATCTGACTTCAAATAGTCATCTTAAAATGTAATCATTAAAAAATAAAAGAGGCTGTACTTTGAGATTATATATATATATATATATATATATATATAATATGAAATATATATATATATATATGAATATGAAATAATAAAATATATATATATTTTTATATATATATATATATATAATATATATATATATATATATTATATATATGAATATGAAATATATATATGAAATATATATATATATGAATATGAAATAATAAAATATATATATATTTTATATATAATATAATAAATATATATATATATTTTATATATAATATAATAAAATATATATATATATAATAAAATATATATATTTTAATATATATATATATATATAAAATATATATATATATATATATATATATATATATATATATATATATAATATGAAATATATATATATATATATATGAATATGAAATAATAAAAGCTTAAAAGTATTACCATTTTTTTTCTTGATTTGTAATTTACTTACCTATAATCTTGTTGCAGTAGACTTCATCTTTGTTGTTTTGGAAGAATATGTAGTTCCAAATAAATTGCACCCTAGCCTCCAAAGATCTATTCTGTGAGGCTTCTTATTATTGCTTATAATACATTAAAAAGTTATTTTCATAGTTTGTGATAAAGCAAAAAAGAAAATAACTGAATACACAGTACAGAGCCTTTTTTATTTAAATCACACATTTTCCTGTTTTCTTGTGGAAATTCGCTAGTGTTTTTTGAATTCCTCCAAGAAATGAGCCACAAACATGGTTAATCTTAGTTCAACAGCTGCTTATATACACATCTAGGTAGTGGATTCTTTTTGTTTGCATGATGAATGTACACTTAACAGTGCTGTGTTCTTTTACATTATTGAAGTACATTCATTGCAATAACTATCTAATTAATGCCTCTCCCAAAAATGCCCTTTTTTTCCTGCACTAGCAATTTTTGGACTGTTGTGATGGAAACTCTTTTGAAAGAGCTTAATTCAGCTCTCTTAACATGGGAAGTAAAGTTCTTGCAAATTGGCTTCTTCAGACTGGTCATGATGAAAGGATTCTAGATCCTAGGACAAGAAATGATTTGTTGATTCTTGGGAGAGAAAAATCTAGTGATTGCCAAACTGACAAAATAATTTTTAAATTGTCAAATTTAAGATTTAGTGCTTGTAATATTGGACAAGTTGTTTAAAATCTGTTACCTATCCCTTTAATGAATACAGTCAGAATAACTTTTATGTCTCTATCTTCCTGGCTGATGTGGCATGTTGATGAATTAAAGAGCGGGGCAATTGTAGGGATGGGAATTAGCAGTGTTGGTATTTCAGAGGGGTGTTATAAGCAGGTTAAGTTGGTATCTAGAGTGTGAAAGACAATACTTCTGGGGATGGATGTTGCCTGAGACAGCCAGGGTTATACCACAGAGTTGGATTTGCTGTTTACAGACTAGGAAGAACTTGTTAAGAAGATAATAATTGTTTGCAGTCTTAGCTATAATGACCATCAAGTTGTCAAGGCCAAGACCTTAAGACAGTGCTGAAGGAAAGTAGCACTGTACAGCCCTGGAGTTAAGAAGCAGAGTCTTCAGATGTTCAGGGAATTTGTAGGTGGAATCCTGTGAGAAACAGTTTTGAAAGGTAAAGAATTCAGAAAAAACTATAAAGTCTTTAAAGTATGGTCCACTTCGGAAAAAAAAGTGGATGTCTCAGGAGATAACTTGGCTAAACAGATCTCACCACTAGACTCTGGTGTAGGATGCATATAGAAAACAGTATTCAGGAAGTGGAAACAGTGAAAGTTTTAGGGGGGAGAGTTTAGAAATATTGTCTGGACACTGAAGGTTGGTGGTAACCTATGTGCAGTTGAGAGTTGCAAATAATGACTGATGCAACTAGAATTTCTTTGAAGTGCTTTATCAGAGAAAAACTGAACAAGGAAAATAGGGACCTAATGCTGAAGTGGAATGATGAATTAATTTAAAAAGTTGATTGATTCAGCAGAGGTACTTAATATTGTCTTTGCCTAAGTCTTCTCCAATGTGTCCCCAGAAGTTTGTGCCTAGAGACAGACTTCAATGTGAGTTACTGAGAGTGGATGTGTTGGAAGATACCTGAGAAAACTTTACTGGTACACATCCATTGCCTGAAATTAGCTGCATCCAGGGGTGCTGAGAATGTTGGTTGCCTCTTACCCTTTAATTTGGGAGTTGAATCAGCATCTTTTGGTACATGTTTTTCAGTAATAAACATGGCATTTAACAGTCTTAAAGATGTGTTGTATGCAGATGTTATCCTTCTCCTCTGTCTGACAGAATAAAAAGAATCCTTATCAAATTAAGCTAGTCCAACATTGCCTTTAAAATGTGTATTAGATGGTAGAAATGTAAGAGCTAAATCAAAGATTACTTCTTAGGAAAAGTAGTCACCTGTAAAAAGGCTGAAGTGTTAGCCTTTTTTTTTTTTTCCTATCTGTAAACCATTTCCATTGAATAAAAGTGCCACTTCTCACTTTTGAAGACTGGTTGTTATTGTAACCTATGATAACTGGGTATAAAATTCAACTTCTTCAAACTGAGAGAAAGAAAAAGCTGCTATGGATAGTTTATCCTTTTAAAGAACATTTCTTTTAAGTTTTGTCATATTTGCTGAAGTCAGTGTGAGACAGGTAAACAGGAGGATACCTGATAAGGTGTCTAAAAGGCTGACAATAGTGTTTTTCTTTTCTGTATGTACCTTCATATAAATAATGTACCGTGTACAGAAAGTTGATTTAAGTCTTTGCTTTCTGCCTAAAGTAGTTCTTCAGGACTTTTTGTGCTTCTTTTGTGCTTCCCAGAGTTAATGTATTAGTTTTCTATATGTCCTGAAAGTGAACAAATAAAAAAGTTGTTAATCAGCCAGCTGTCTCCCTATCTAAGAATCAGTTAGTTATCTGAGTTATTTGGTTGTTCTTTAGGTGGAGGTTACTTAAACTATTGTTTATATCAAGATGAATATATTTTTCCCCAAACTCAAGTCACAAAAGGCTTTGTACGTAGATCAAAAAATGTTGGACTGGCAGATTTTAAGTGGAGGTGAAGTAAAAGATAATGGAATTGCTTACTGGTGGGTTGGCTGGTTGTTTTTGTTAATTCCTAGTTAGCACAGTACTTTTGAAGTTTCTGAGGTCTGAAGGTTGGAACTTGTAAAGAAACAGCCATCTCTCTCAAGAGGAGCCTGGGATTTTAGTTCCACTGCAAAATGAGAATTTTATTGAGATAGGACCTTGAAAAATTACCCTCACTGTCATAATATATAATAGGAAAAAACAAGAAAACAAAGCTACTGTCTTTGAAAGAGACTTTCAAAGGGTTTGGAGCTACAAATAACAAAACTGTTGTGTTAATTCAGAGTGACTCCATAATGGGCATAACTGTACTTCCTCATGCCTTGGTTTTCTTATGCTTTTCATGTTTGAAGTTCTTTTAAGTTCACCTTTTCTTACTGTCTTGTACTGTGTCTTTTATAAATATGCATTTTCTCTCTTCTATAAATGAATTATTCGATGTTTTGGCTGCTTCAAGTAGCATTTCTCTTATAGGCTTTAAAAGTTTGAATCTTAAAACACTCCATTGAAATTAACTGTAGTTTGAAAACACGGATTAGGAGGATTTCTGCTAGGTAAATTTTCACAAATTTACGTAGCAAGTTTATGCAATGAACTTTTTTGGCTACTGTATCAACAAGAACGGAATGTGATAAATTCTTTATGATCTTAAAAATACAGAGTCTCAGAAATTGAGTGTAAAATATTGCAGGTTATTTCATGGTCAAAAATATGATGTCGATGAAAAACTCAACGTGAGCCTGCAATGTACACTTGCAGCCCAGAAATCCATGTCATGGACTGCATTGAAAGAGATGTGTCAGCAGATTAAAGGAGGTGATTTTCCTCCTCTACTGTGCTGTTACGAGATCCCATCAGGAGTGCTCTCTATATTTCTCATGTTCCCAACATAGGAAGGACATGGTATTCCTGGAGGAGGGCCATGAGGGGAGTGGACCACCTTCCTTACAAAGACTGATTGAACAAGTTGTGGCTGTCCAGCCTGAGGAAGAGAAAGTTTTGTGGAGACCTCATAGCAGCCTTCCAGGATCTGACCAGAGCCTACAGGGAAACCAGAGTGGGTCTTTGTCGGGAACTGTGGTGATGGGACAAGGAGGAGTGGTTAAAAATTGAGAGAGGGGAAATTTAGGTTAGAGATTGGGAAGAAATTCTTTACTATGAGGATGAGGAGACACTGGAAGAGGTTGCCCAGGGAGTGAGCAGATTCTGGCAGTGTTCAAGTCCAGGCTGGATAAGGCCTTTAGCAACCTGACCTAGTAGGGAGATTTCCCTGCTCATGGCAGGGAACTTGGAAGTAGATGACCTTTCAGATCCTTCCTAGCCCAAACCATTCTGTGATGCTATTTTAGATGTCAGTATTCAGCTGAAGTTTTGTACATCAATATATAATATTTCAGTAGCTAAGCTATTTGTATAACAAGTATTTTTCCCCATTTTTTCTTATTTTACTCCTTCAGTAATGCATCCAAAAATTTGAGCTTTCAAAATATGTTCAAAAGGTTGAGCTGATTAATTTCTTACTTGAAACCAAAAGCTGAAGTTAAATATATCACAAATGAAGTACTGAAAGATACTTTTCTCTAATTTTAAAATCTGCCATTAGATAACTTCTGAAGTTTTATTTATGACAAAATAATGTTACATATTCTTTGTATTGTACTCTGCAATGGATGATGGGAACTTAAAGCATTAGTAATGCTAGATTATTTTCACCTCTTCCATGAAAAACATGCAACTCTATAGTATGGTATTAGAAATAGTCAAATAGAATTTATTCACAGAATATATGAACTATTACAATCTTTGTTCACATATTCAATACTACGGAGTTAAAAAATACTGAGGAGAAGCCCTACTTGTCTGCAAGTTATAAATACCTTATTACACTTAAAAATTTTAAAAAAAATTGATGTGTTGATAGTGAACTGTCTCCTATCATTTTGAATTTTTTTATCATTCAAGGAAAAATTAAATTTTTCTACCTAGCCTTTGATATTGAATGGTAGCTTATTTACTGGGTACACCATGTATGTATCCTATATTTGTCAAGAAACACATTAATTTCCTACCTCATTCACTTGTGAATTTTGATATTTCCTTACATCAGTGTTACTGTTATTAATAGGACATGATCGTTTTCATACAACTTCAAGGAATTTGATTGTCATAAACTTCTGATGCATCTAAATATCTATAAGACATTTTAATGCAATTTTAAGGAATTTAATTTATTTAGAATTTAATTATTCACTTTTCAGTTATAGAAATATTTTGATAACCTCAGTATTGGAGGTATCATTGCTGAAAGGGAAACGTGATTTTCTTACTTCTTTATGTCTCTATGTAATGGAAAACAAATATACTCTTGGCAGTAGATTAGGGATGATATTCTAAGAGGAGATTTTTATTTTAAATTATTAATGAATCATGGAATACTTGCCTTACTGCGAATGAGTGATTGCATCTGTGAGTAGCATAATACCAAAGCTGGTCTAAGGCTGTTGCCACCTCTGAAATCCTGTTCTTGATATTGCTGTAATATTTATTAATTATTTCCATTCTTGTCTCAAAACACTCTGGGGAGAATAATCATACAAAGCTTTGTAAGGATTGATGTGCTCTTCTTAGGGAACTCCAGCAAGTTGTAGTCTTGTTTGAGTAAGCTGCCTTGCTGCTCTGTTTCCTAATACACCTTTGCAGTTTGCTGACTAACTTCTACAGTAGGGTTTATGGTAAAATCTTGCTTGTTTGCATTGTTTTCAGTGAGCACTTTCAGAAATTTTCTGGTATGCTGTTTCTTTTCCTGGAGAAACTATTCTTTACACTGAATAAGCAATGCAAAATAAGGGCAGATTTAACAGGCAGTGTCAAAAATGAATCTGTATCTGTGATTCTTAGTTCATGTATATGATGTGAATTTTTGTGAGAAGTTAAAACAATGAATGCATAGCTGTTTTTTTTAGGAACTTCTACATAGAAAACAAGGTTAATCAGTTAAGTAGTTAAATAGGGAACTACTGTTTTGCAAAGTTTTGATTCAGGTTCCTCGTTCCACATCCAGCAACTGAGTTAAGGAAAACTTCTTAGAGTTAAGAAAAGATAGCCACCTAAAATTTGAAAAACGCCTTTTTTCCTGGTATTTCACATTTTTCATATGTTAAGGAAAACTGAGATAAGGAAAACTTCTTAGAGTTAAGAAAAGATAGCCATCTAAAATTTGAAAAACGCCTTTTTTCCTGGTATTTCACATTTTTCATATGTGCACATATACTTACCTGTATGTATTGGCTTAGACTGCAATAAATGTATGCACGTCCATATATATATACATAGATAACTTGCATAGTAGATTTTAGTTATTTCTTCTTAATGCATTTCATTTGCTTTCTTTGCAGAATTTGGAAACTGATTTAGCAGAGACAAGAGGAAAAATAAAAAGTTGCACAGTATATGCAGTAACTTGTCATCTCAGGTAGATGTGAAACAGGAAGAATTTTTCCAAAAGGATTGTGATGTGGTCAGAGCTAAGTAAGTATTTAATAATAACTTTAGGTCTGAATCCTTTCAAAAAGACTGTTGTTCCTGTGAAGCAGTGCATTGAAGATATTTTTGTGCAGCAGTGTGTTTTACCACCCTGTTCACAAGATGTAAGGCTTTTGGAAGTCTCCCAGTTTACGTAGACTCTTCCTGATACATTTGTATATGTCTATCTTGTATATTTTACCTGTTTATTAGTAGTGACAGACTTAAAAAATTATACTTCTGTAATTTTCACTGTGTCAGAGAGCTACCAATCTCGACTGAAAGTAACAAAATAACAAGAGGATTAGTGACATGAACTAATGAGAGGCTAAACACCCTAAACTTGAAAAAACTTTAAGCCTAAATGTAACTTTTTAATTAGAGTCAAATCTGACAAGTCAGCAAAAGTCTACGTAGATTTGTGCTAAAGTTTAAAGTGCAGTGATTTAAGCTTTATCTTAGGTCTCACACACTATTTCTTTACACTGAATCTGTAAAATTTGTGCTGCATTATTTTTATCTTGGAAAAGAACTAAAGGACAGAATGAATTATATGAATTGAAAAGACTACTGAATTCCCCAGAATTAAGGTAATGTGAGAAGATAATTGGTAACTCTTAGTCAATTGTCAGGAAATTGTCTATTTTTTACTTCTTAATTTCAGAGGCATACACACTGTTTCATACCTATGTTAGATTAATAATATTCCCTTCAATATTCCTTTAAATGGTGGTTTTGCCTGAAGAGCTGCAGTTGAGAAGTAGAAATCATTGGTATGGATACTCCTCTTTACTTTCTAAGCACAAATAAACTTTCTGGAGGGAGTCAAACCAAGAAATGTGATTTTTGATGCATCTGAACTAAATTGTCATGTTGAAAGCTTGTCATGTTGAAATCTTGAAAGGAAGATGATGTCTTCACAAGAAAAATGATTTTTGTGTTTAAAAAAGTAACACCATTTGGGTTTTAAAAAGTCAATAAACATGTGTAAGCTTTTTGAGAGATTGTGTTGAAAGAAGCAATGAATGGAATTGTGAAATTCAGCAGTTGACTAATAGAACTGATCTCCTGAAATTATTCTCAGAAAAATATAAATGTGTGAGGACCGGGGACAGCAAAGAAGGCATTTTAGAGTCAGGTAATCAAGTTTGCAGTTACTGCTTGCTGATTTCAGCTTCAGATATTGCAATCTGAGTTGGCCAAATCTTTGTGTTTTGAATTTCTCAAAATGAATTCTTTGATATTCTTTGCACAACAACCTCTTAAAATTTGGCACAAACACTTCATTAAAATATAGAAATAAAACAAAGACATTTTTGAACATAAGGTCTGAACATGAAGTAATAAAGAGATGAAGACTACACTTATTTTAAAATGAAGTCTTCTTCTATGTTTTTCCATATACCTAATCCTCTAAATTTATGGGAAACAATTTGGTAAATCAATCATATGGGGCGTTTTGTGTGCTCTAATGTTTTCCTTCCTAGATATTTAGTGGTATTGCAATGAATAATAGTATTTTTGGATATCACTAGAGTGTGAGTTATGTTTCACATGTCTGTATATATGTGTTTGATCAGTATTATTATAATTAGTTGCCTTCTAATCTTTCTCAATGAACTTCAGCTACAAATTTCTTGTTGACATTTCTGTTATGAAGAAAGAAGGCTTAAGCTTATATTATGTAAAATTCCCAGTTTCAATAGTTAGCAATACTTACTAAGAATTGCAAGTGTTCTGTACTTTTATAGTATAGAATAATGAAATTTCTCCTTATCTTCTGAGATGTCAGTGTGCAGAAAAAAATACTTTTCTGTTATTTCTCAATTTAAAAAATGCATCAAAATTATACAAGTCTTTGTAAAAAGAACACAACCTTATTTAAATTAAAGTTACAACTCCCCAGTTAAAGGAAAAACTCTGAGAAGAAAATTAAGTCTTTCTATCCTCTCATCTTCCTAAGCCAAAGTCTTACGACTGTGTTGACTTAATGATTAAAGCGCTTAATTTTTCCTTAATTAATTTATGGTTATTTTTTTAAAAAATCCATTTAAAATTTAGTCCTATAGAAGTATCGCATTGAATGCTTGGTTGTCATTTGATGCTGGCAGAAAATTCTTGGACAAATAATGTGGAACATACCCCATCCTCCTTAGTATCTTCAGTTTCTCATCATCAATTTCAAACTTCAGAGCTGAAAAAGACAATCTGACTTGCAAATGCGTCTGTTCTCCCCAGTGCTCTGTCTCCCTGTTTGCTGCTTTCCTACTTTTCCCACCCTCTCGTTCTGTGAAAACAGAGCAGGAACACAACTGAAATTATTAGAAACAAGCTTTAGAAGAAGAAAGAAAGAAAGGCAGCTGGCTCCCTTCATTTGGTGTCTTCTTTCCTATACCGCATAGGCAGATTCAGAAAAAATACACCTACTGCTGACACCTTGGTAATACTGTCCAAATTTTTTACCCTGTGTACGAAATTCAGTTTCAGAGGAAGTCTTCAAGCGAATACATACATACGGGCTAGTGCTGTGCTTCTTGTGCATTCACCACTTCCTGTGTTGTGCATATCTGTCAGTTTGTTGGCAAGAGGTTTTTTTAGTTTAACAGTAGATGTGTCTGTAGACATCAAGAGAGTTGTTTTCTTCAGCAAAGTAGCAGGGATCAAACTTTGAAGAAATACTCCAGTACAATTCTGATTCTACAGAATAACGAAGTGGTTTTGGAAATACTGCCATTTGTCAATAAAAGTCTGTTACATACTTTTGAGGTGTGGAAGATAAGTTTTCTAGGATCAGTGACCAAACAGTATTTACAGGATATATCCTGTATAGTGAATGTCTTCAAGAAGCCATTAGCTCTCTTTTTTGGCTTAATTTTTGCAAAGCATTCTTTACCTTACTGGATTTAATTTCAAACTTCTGAATTACCTGTGAAATGCATTTTCTTGTTAAATTTTTTATGTTTTAATTTAGTATAGATTTTCTGTATCTCTTTAGAGTCCATGGTAACCTTTCCTTTTCAAATATAACCTTTCCCATTATGTATTTTATATGTAACATTTTCAGGTTGTCAAGCTTGGTGATTTTTGCTTTAAAATTGTGCTAAACACCAGTGTCTAGAACTTTTTGGTCTGACGCAGCTCTGGTGGAGCTCTGAACATCAAACTGAAGCTTGAGCCCTGCTGTCACAAGTATCCAGGAAATATGAAACTGTTTGCAAATAAAGTAAAATCTATTCTAAACTGAATTTGAATTAATTGCCCCAGTATTTTTAGTGGAAATGTGGGTCATGACTTCATTCCTTTGATTCATATCTAGTCCAAATCTGTCCCTGATGATTTTCCAACTATTTTTTTCTGTAATAATGTTTCTAGTTTTACTCCCCAACCATGTGTGCCCCCATCCTGCCCACCACCCCTTCCAATGCAGACACTGTTAACGTGTGTCCTGTAAATTATGAGGCAGTCAGATTTTTACTCAGGTCTTGTTTTGCTGCTCTTCTATTTTTAGATTTTTCAGGTTATTCTTTCCTCTTTGCTGCAAACCATTTTGTAGTATTTATGCCATTTCTATGAGAAGTCATAATTTATAGGACCTGTCACTGTGCTGTATTTTTTAACTACAGGTAATGGGATCAATTTCTTGAATTACCCTAACTGATCTTGTATTCCCCTTGGTAACTGGGACAGCTGAGATGATCAAAGTCCCAGTATATTCACCAGAATTGTGGTGGTGAAACAAAGCTAAGAATATCACCTGAAGAGGTGTGTATGTTTTTAATTCTGTTTGTAGCACAGCACATTCCATAGCTTGTGGAATGACAATAGCTATTCATTTCATTTATATCTCTGGGAAACCACAGATTACTCTAAAATCCTTAATCGGGGCCTATAAGGCCACTTGTTCCTGCAAGGATAGAAAGGTTTTATATAATTTTATGTTTTAAGGGTAGAAGGAAGTGTCTGTGAGCATCAGAGGTGTATTTTCTCTAAGCAATAGTAGTGACTGAAATATTGTTACTGACCAGATAAGGTGTCAAATTTTTGAGTCTGGCTACTGTCTTTTTTGTGGCGTCTTCATGTAGCATCAACTTGAAAGAAAAGGCTACTAAGGTTACTGTGCCAACAGTCTTACTTCAGGCATTGAAATAATTTAGTAATGCTCTTCTGTTTTGAAGTGAGAAAGACCAGATTTTTTTTCATAGCACACCCTTTCTTGTTGCTTGAAGAGTGCAGGTTACTTTCTGTAAATTTCATTTCCCACTGTATTCATCTTAAGATACGAGATTAGAGACAGAGAGGTGTTTTATTTTATTTCTCAGTACTACCTGCTGACTTTGCTCTTAAAAAAGTGAAAAGCTCTCAGTGTATCATAGTGTGTTAGTTTATAAGACATTTGGGGTGATGGAAAATAGTAGACTTAAGTGTTGCAATTTGGGTCTTAGCTGACAGCGTTGTTTTTTCAATGGCTGTTGCTCATGGCAACTTTTTTCTTAAAATTGTGTTTCTTTAAAGTGTATAGGATGTTGAAACATTTTATCACCAAGTGCTTGTATATGTATATCTATATGAATATATATATACATGTTTACATATAATTTATATGTAGATGTATTTATTTTTATATATCTTTATGTATGTATAGATGCCTGTATATCATACATATGTGTGCGTGTGCATAATGGCTCTTATATGTTAAATGCCACTCATTATATTTGTTACATTAAATTAGTAATTTTTGGTTATTTCTTCTGTTACATACTCACCCAAGACGAAAATTTTTCTGAGGACTTGACATTCTTATCCTGTTGCAGTGACAGGATAAGGTGTCTCTCTTGTAGAGTATTTCTTGTTTGCATGTTAATAAATATTTTGAGTAAGCATGTTAATAAATATTTTGAGTAAGCATGTTAATAAATATTTTGAGGTTTGAGGTTGATTTTGAATATGCTGAGCCCAGAACAAGCAAATTAGTAACAGAATCACAGAGAACACTGAGTGGCTGAAACTGGCAGACACCTCTGGAGATAGTGTAGTATGCTCCTCCAGCAGATCTAGCCCTCTGCTCCAGCAGTATCAGCTACAGCAGGCTGCCCAGTACAGTGTCCAATCTGAGTATGTCCAAGAATGGAGACTCTGCAATCTCTCTGAGTAGGCTCTTCCAGTGTTTGGCCACTTTCAATGTATAAAAATATCTTTACTGTGTTTATCTGGAATTTCATCTGGTGTTCATCGGTGCTTATTGCCTCTTTTCCTGTCACTGAGCAGCACTTACAAGATGTCTGTCTGCATCTTCTTTCTAGATTGCCATCAGGTATTTATAATGTTGATAGCTCAGTTGTCACTGAACTTTCCCTTCTCCAGCCTGAGCAGACCCAGCTTTCCCAGCCGCTCTATGTGTTCTGTGCTGCTCTCTATGCAGCAGATGCTGCAATATTTAAATCATCTTTGTGGCCCTTCATTGGCTCTCTCCAGCCATGTACATGTTTCTCCTTGTACTGGGGAGCCCAGAACCAGACACAGCACCAAGATGTGCCATAAAACTTCTGACTAGAGGGGAAGTATCACTGTATCACGTCCCTTGCCCTGCTGGCAGCAGTAACCTCTTCAAAGCTCAGGATGTCAATTGGCATTTGGCACAAGACCACATTGCTATCTGATGGCCATTCAGGTGTCCACTAGGATCCCCAGGGCATTTTCTAATAAGGTGCTTTCCAGCTTGTCTGTTCCCAGACTGTGCTTTTACACAGGATTATAACCCCCCCAGGGGCAGTAATTTGCACTTGTCTCTGTTGAACTTCATAAGGTTTCTGTCTAGCCTTTTGTCTGGTCTGTGAAGGTCCCTCTCAATGGCAGCCAAATATCTGTTGTCCCATCCCCCTTTTTTGTGTCGTCAGCAAAGTTGCCATGATGCATTCTGTCTCATAGTCTGGGTCATTAATGAAAATGTTAAAAAGTGCTGGCCCTAATGTTAGCCCCTAGGCTACTCCTTTAGTGCCTGGCCTTGAACTGGACTTTGCGTCCTTGATTACATCTCTTCAAACCCAGTAGTCCTACCAGTTCAAGGGAACTTTACTGTTTGCTTCTCTAGCCTATACCTCATCAGTCTGTCTATTGCATTTTATGGGACAGACAGTCCCATAAAATAGTCTTACTGCAATCAAATCTGGTGCTCACCTCTTATCCACCAAGATAGGAATTCCCTCAGAGAAGGCTGCCAGGCCAGTTTGTTAGAGCATGGTGCTAGCAACATCAAAGTTCTGTCCCTGTAAGAGCCATTTACTTAAGAGTTGTACTTGATGATCAATGGGGTCCCTTTCCACCTAATAATATTCTGTGAATCTGTAAATATTATTTCCCCTTATGACTCCCAGTGATCATGTCTCCATTGCATGGTCCATCACCTTCCCAGGGACTAAGATGTAGTTGACTGCTCTAGTTTCCCAAAACCTTCTTTTTGAACATAGGCTTTCCTAAAGAACCTGTATCTCCATGCATGTCAGTGCTTCAGTCATGAAAGTTGTCCCAACTTGTCTCTGTGATCCCAGAGAGTCCAGCAGGTGCAGACAGATCTCTCATTTCTCCTGTTGTCTTCCATGAAGGTGTGCTAGCTTCAATTGAACAGCAGCTTCAGATAGGCACCCATTTGAGCTAGTTTCCATACTGTAAAGGCCAGTTTCTACAAAGGAGACAGAGGAGTCTGCAAGAATAAGCTTTATTTGAATAAAGGGAGAGAGTCCACTTGGCCATATACCTATGGGGTCTGTCTTGGGTTTTTGGAAGACACGGCCTCCTTTATCCTAAACTCCTGACTGCATGTTGCCCCCTCCTCTTTTCTCCATTGGATGAGGTTCTAGGAAGGTACAGCCTTCCTGAATCACCTACTACATTGCCCCTGTAAGACATATCCCACTCGCCCCCATTATGCATTGCATGGCTGTGAAAAAATTAGCTTTAAGCCCACCCTGGATGGAGAAGTTAATATTCGTAAGTCTCGTAAGTCTGCACGTTTTTCCCTGAAGTTCTGCAACAAACTTGAATGGCCTGATATACATGAAGACTCTCACACCCGTTTCTCTAGAACTTCACTGGTTATTTCCGAATAAGCTGTTTGAGAAGACACTATCAACCATTTCTCCTCTCACCAGGGAGACTCTTACAAACCTCCATCGTACTGATTGTCAGCACTCCATTATTTATGTGCATAAAGTGAATATCCTCCCTCAATGTTCTACTGCTCATCACAAGGTCTTTTCTGTCCGTATCTGTCTGTCTGCTTTTGCCTGCCAGTCCAGGCCACAACTCTCTCACTTGCCATTTCATCAACATCTTTGATCCCTGCAGTTCCTAATTTAAAACTCCCCTCATTGATTCGGCTCATCTGTTATCAAAGTGTTTATTTATGTGTATTTATTTGTATTGCACATTGGTACTGAATAGTGCTTGGTAAAGGTTAGCATAATTTCTGTATTGGTCTGTAAAAGTGAAATAAAAGAAGGCTGCCCTATTGATTTACAATGTAAAAATAGTGCCTCATCCACTAAAGACAAAAGCAAGTTAAAGTACATATATGAATAAATAAAGTTTGATTTCTAAAGTGTATTGTAATGGAACTGTGACTGAATTTCCTTACACTTAAAAAGCCTTGAATTTAACATAAGCAAACATGTTAATGTGTTCTGACTGTGCTGTGGTTCTTGTGTGCCTGCAAGATTTAGTTTCCCCCTCCCACCGCCTCACCATAAGGATATAACTGCTAGTCTGATAAAGTCAACAAAAAAGATTCCCATTGACCTTAATACACTTTGTGAGCAGACCATTAGAGAACACATAATACTGCATTCTCAGGTGACAGACACAGATAACTGCATTGATGTTTGCATACAAATTAAAGAGTAGCAAAATAGCAGACTGGTTTTGAGGATTTAACATTATTCGATGTTTTTCCCTTCCACAACAAAATGAAGATCTGATTGGAGAAGCTGTGCAAAATTAATATAATCTGTGTTTCAACTGCAATGAAAAGGTGTGTTATTTTTTATTATATATACATGCAGTCAGGGAAATTAAAGAAGAGTTTAGAGCTGTTGTAGAGCTGTCAGAAAGTGCTAATATATCACTGTGTCTGTTTTTCTACTTCTTTTCTTCTGAACAGAATTAAATTATTACATATGCAGTACATACTGCAGTTGCATTTTCGTACATCAGGAGTCTTTAGTGTATCTCTGCCTTTGTTAACTTTGGGGAACTACTTTACAATTCATTCAGAATTAGCAGGACTTAGTGTTATGTCCTAGTAAACATGGTTAGTGTGTCCTTAAAGTGTTATCCTTTGTTGCTCATTTAACAGGCTTTCTGAAATGGTGCTTTTTAACAAAAAACTGACTGTCACGTTGCACATGTAGTTTAAATTATTATATAATTATTCAGATGTATCTGTACTGAATAATCATTCAATCACAAACTAATTAGTGGCATAGGTTTTAAGAACAACTTTTGTGAACTTCCCTTAAAATTTTTTATTTGTCATTCTGTTATCCCTGGAAAGAGACAAAGAAGTTGGTATTGCTGCTTACCCTGTATACACTAATCTTTACCTGGATATCTCTAGAAGCATTAGAAAAATGCAATGATAACTCCTGTTAATGGGAATTCCAGCCACAGAAATATTACACATGTGTTAGAGGTTAAAACGACAATTCTTTGAGGAAGGAAGGAAGAAAATTATTTAGAGTGCTAAATAGATATTTTCGTATCTCTGTGTAATAATAGTTTGAAATGTGCTTTTGAATTAGAAAATACATAAGCAGGGATTAATAGAGTCATCTGTACTTTTAATATATGTTGCAGAAAATATTCAAAGTTTTAATCACTTATAGAAAGTGTTACTGTGCTTTGATCTTAATTTAGAAAATCTATCAGCAGTACAGTAAAATTATTAAGCAAGGTGATTTTACTACATTTATCCTATGGTTGCATTACAACACCATTCTTATTATTGTCTTAATATAGCTTTTATTATATTATATATATGCACCAAGGTATTGCTTACTTTGTTTATGGTTGTTGCAGTATGCCGTACCCACAGACAAAAAGCAATTTATCAGCAAACATATTGATGTGTCTAGGGAGTAGATGCATATCAGAAAAAAAAGGTTGCTTCACACATACCCTGTGAGTTCAGGAAGAAGTTTTATCTTTTTCTGATTGTTCTAGGTAAAAAACCCAACAACTTATTTGCAGGTGATGTGTTCTATGTATTTTACATTTTGACGCTTACTGCTAAAGAGTTAACTGAATATTGATTAGAAAAAGATGAAGTAGTGAAAATTTGTTTATTTTAGAGCAGTTAAAGCATTACAGGGAAATAGAAAGGCATTCCATTAGATTAACTAAACATATTAACTGAACTTAACTGTTTTTTAGATGTTTCTCAAAAGTGTATAGTAAATATTTTATATGTAATTTACAGTGTTTGTAAGGCAATTGACAGAAAAATAAATGAAGATAGGAAGCTCCTTATCTACAATAAAATTATTTGCATACAAATTTTAACAGAGATCATTGTTCTTTTTCTTGATTTCTCTTTATTCCTTGTTTTCAACAGGAAGGAGTTAGAGGAGATACAGAATCTTTGCAGACAAAACATTGAGGATAGAACACAGCAGGCTGAGCTGATAAAGCAGCTAGAGGCTCTCAATGCTGATACACAAAAAGTACTGCAAGACCAAGAATATGCTCACACAGCTAAAACAACATATCAAAAAGTATGTTATTCTGCTTTATGTTCATAGGGTTCATTTTAATATCCATCTGTACAATATCAATGCGCAGAGTAATCAAAGTTATTTTGTAGTGTTGCATCTTTTAGATCTCTGTTATTCTCTATTATTGCCAAAATATCGTTGAGTATATGAGTATATTGCATACCAGCATATATGCCCCCTTGCATACATTGAATTGATCAGCCCTAAATTTTTTTTTTCTTTTGCATCTGAAGAAAAATAGAATTAAATTGCCAAGCATATAAATTTCTTTATCAGACTTGGTGTTAATTATGTTTTTCTTCTTCCCCTTCGGTATGACAGGAGCTTTCAATTACTAAATTCTCCAAATTGATTTTTATAGTTCAGGGGAAGATAGTCTTTCCACTAAACAAAGTATTTGTGTGAATCACAAACAATATTAGTGGTTTAAAATACAAAACCTGCTCTATAAAAATCAACTGGAAAATTGTTGCTATAATATCTTTTGAAATGGTTAACAAGTTCACAGATTTGGAACAATGCGCACATTTGCAGAAAGTTTTATGGTTTTGGTCAATGTCAGGGAAAATGCTCACTCTAATGATCTGTCAAACACTCACTACTCAGGACTTCTTTCAGTTTATGAATTTATATATGTTTTTCAGTCTCTAAGAAATATTTTGCTTCCTTTTTAGAAAGATTAGGAAGGACAAAGGCAAGGAAGAATTTGTATAAACAACTTTAACATGCCTTCTACTACCTTGGAACTACCTTCTGAAGTTGTATATTGCCAGTGCTTTTTCCCAAAAAATCTTTCTTCCTTTGTAATCTTACTTAAAATGTGCAGATTGTAATAAAATTGTAAAGCTAGACCTGAGTCAAACCAGAATCAGTACTGGGCTTCCAAAGGTGTATTTGTTTAGCATTTACAGTTTGTGGTGCCCAGCACATTTTTGTGTACTTGACACTGTACCATGTGATGTGGTTTGCTAAGGTAATTTGAAATTGTGTGGAATGCCAACATAAAGACCTGCTGCATATAAAAAAGAGTGGAAAAAACCCCAAACATCCTAGAAAACTCTACTGTTTATTTGATTGCAGTGATGATACAGTGATGATATTAAACAATTTCTGCATTGCAGTAGTAGCTCAGTCAAGCTACAAGTTGACTTTCTGTCAAAGTTGTTCAGAACATGTGCAAGGCAGGAGGAATTTATCTATCTAGGACAAGACAGAGTAAATTCTAGAATAAAAGAGAATGAGATAGGTGTCAGGAGTTGCTAGTTGTTTATTTTCCATTCTCTACTCAGTGCTTCTGAAGGTGTTAAATGAATCCTTTGAGTCACTGAAAAATAAAGAATTACATTTGTGGAACTGCTAAGCTGTCCTTTTGTAAAATATCAAACCTGAAAAAAAATATGGAAAAAAGAGAAAAAAACAGTGAAAAAAGGAGTAAGTGAAGTTCCTGAGTCACAGTGGAATAGAGCTAATATTTGTGGCAAGTTGAGTTAAGAGAAGTTTGGAAGGGGAAAGGAATTAATTTATCATGACAGTCCTATTCTGTATTTCTGATCAGAACTGTATAAAACAGCCAATTGTAATTGTGTCAAGTAACGTGGATTTTTCAAATCACAAGAGATACAGTCCTACTGAAGTCACAGCAGGCTTTTGGAAAACTCAGCATCTATAGAAATAATATAAATGTCTATTTTTTTGCTTCAATGAGAGAGGCATGAACTATTACAGACAAATCTGTGTTCTATTTGTCTTCCCTGCATTAATAATATGCAGTCTGCAACAGCTAGATAAGGATGTGTCAGCTATTCCATAAATACAGTCACAAAGGAATATTTTCCTACTTCTTCAAATGGCATTGAGCCTATCAGCGTGTACATCCTATGATATATTGTCCCTTACAGCAAGATCAATGACCTCTGTTAGTGGTCAGATAGGTACTATGTGCTGTAGCTCAGGCAGTATGGTTCGTTCACATATTCAAAGTTCATCTTAACAGGGTACCATTGAGAAAAACAGATTTTTGTGCTGATGTTGATGTGTACTATGAGACAGGAGACTAAAAAAACTGAAAAAAAACCCATTTCTAATAAACTGAGGTCGTAAACTGCTTTGAATTATATGTAAATTTATTGAGGACCACAAATTTTCAAGTCTAGCTGTAGTGAGCAGTATGTAAAGATCTGTAACCTGTTTTATCAAGTTTGGTTGACTTCATGTACCTTTTTTCTCTAAGTAGAAATTTTAAGGATGCTATGTTCTACAATAACTCCTTTACATTAGTGCTTTTATGGAAATAAATTGATGTCTGTTTCATATTGCAGCTGTAGTTTATATTCTCAAGGATAGAGAATATTTTTCTAAAATGTGTAGCATCTGCTTTAGTGGTCCCAAATGCTCTGGGGACTTCATTCCTATGCTGGTTTTAATGAGACTCAATAGATTTGTCCTCATCAACAATTTCAAGGTGGAGAGATTTCAATCAATACTAGGGATAATAAGACAAAAAGAGATTCTGAAGTCCTTCGCCAGTTTATCACAGTTTTCTGAAATTTACAATTTTAGGCCTTTGTTTGTATAGTGCTCTACTTTCTCTTGGTCTGATGTGGCCTTTAGGATCCATGTTAATCATACTGATTAAAAGTCTTTCAGTGGAAGGCCTTTTTAGTGGAGTGGAAATACCATTGTCATTCAACAGGAAATGATAATTTATGCCTGGAACTCAGCTCTCAGATAGAGCATACTATGAATAATGGTACCGTGCATGTTTGTGGATGAAGAAAAGCTTCTGCAGTAATCTAATTAAACTATTTAGTTACAGTAATTAGAAAGCACAGTAAATTTCCAGTTATGAGGCATCACAGAAATCTGCATCAAGTGCATCAGCAAGTAGATGAAAATAGGGACATGACAGATACATTTTCAGCTGTTATTTTGTACCTGAATTTGCCTTTGTTAGTCCTTCTACAGTGTCTTGTAGAAGTAGTTTGCTCTTCTTCAAGCCCACATAATTGTCATCAGAACATCAAGTTAGTGTGTTTACCATAATATGGTTGTTTTACACATCCAGTATTTTTTGTAACTGCAGCAACCTTTAAGCATAGTTAAAAATAAATGTATTTATGTAAGCAGTATTAAATTCTGAAAATAAATGCTAAATTTACATAGATCTGTAAATGCTAGTGGTAGTGCAGGTTCCTATTCAAATTAGAGTGAAAAGACTAAGTCCTTTCACACATGATAAGGCAGGAGAGAAACTGTATGTCCAGTCAAATATGCTGAAGCCCACATAAGTAATACGTGTATTGTCATTTATATGTCTACTTTGGGAAAGTTTTAAGGAACTCAGATCTTTAACAGACTTGCACACTTTAGTTCAAACTCAGAGACTGTTCTCTATAGTTGGAAAGTGTGTTAATTACGGTAGTCTTTGTTTCTTGCATGGCAAACACCAGTACACTTGATCACATTCTAGCAAATAGATTTTGGCATCAGATGTGCCTGTAGGTTGAAGTTGAAGAAATCCTGGGTAGACTGAGTCTCTCAGGGTGATACTAAATTGTGCACTCACAGGCAATGATTTTCATGCTTGAAAGACCCTGTACTGGTGTTCTTAGACCACAGCAGTTCCTGTGTGTAATGGTGTAGACTGATATCTGCAGAATATTCAAGTATTTATGAGGGGAAAAGGGAATATAAATAAAATGAAACTAAATATCATGAATGTGTTATATATAGTCTGTCTGGACTGTCTCTTCACCTTCACCCTAGAGCTTCTTCAGCTGATTTCTGCCCTTGTTCTTTTCAAATTATCATAAAAATCATGGGTTGTAACATGGATTTCTGCAATGGTGCTGTAATAATTTCCATTATAGCTTTACTTTGTCTTAATTTAGACTAACTTTTAAAAATTTATGTCATTACTATATGTTCAATATTACTGTATGTTTGGATTCAGAAACAACTGGATGTGGCAATTAGTGTTATGATTTAGTTGACATGATGGTTTTGGTCAAAGGTTGAACTTAAAGATCTTCAAGGTTTTTTCCAGCCTTAGTGATTCTGTGATCCTATTTACTTGGGTCTCTGTAATACACTTTTTTAGGGTGTGAGCATTTTGATAAAACATTTAATGTAGGAGAATACTTGTTTTATACACAGCGCATATAATGTGGTTATTGTTACATTTTTTTAGATGGATCTACCTTAGTGTTAGTTCCTCACTGAAAGCTTTGAAGAAATATTTGAAGAACTCTCTCAAATGACCCTACTATCATACTTCAGTTGATACCATAGAAAAGTTAATGACAGTATCAACTAAATACCTTTTGGATCATGGAACTGAAAAATGTACCCTGGCTGTTAGCTGGCATTTAGTGCATAGTAGCAATCTAAACCTACTTTAAAATAAATCCTACACACTTGCTAAGTGTTGGTAATTTGTTTCGGCTGGTTCACTCTGCAGGTTTTTTTTTTTCTAATTGCACTACGATTCTGGTTAATGTACCATCCAATAATAGCATAAGTTGATTATTTAGTTTTATTTGGTTTGTTTTTTTTTTTTTAGTTTCTCAGCTTTCCTTGGTCTCACCTAAGATAATTTTGCCATCACACATATTCAATATATGTCAGTATTTCCTTTTCCCACCATTATCAGGTTGTGTTTTCCATTATATGTGAGTAGCCATTACAGTTCCATCTTTTGCTTCTGGAGGTCCTAGCTTTGGTTAGGCATTTTTTGCTTTCTTGATGGTATTTTGTTTTCCATTTCAAGGAACTCTTCATTGATGTACCAAAAAAGTGTTTTCTGATGAAATCAGGTAAATCAATACAGGAAGTTGTTACGATAGCTGAGAAATATGGAATACTTCACTTTCTGTATAATTGAGCTAAATTACGTACCTTTTCTGATTGATGAATAATGCTCTTGTGTCATATAGACTAAATTTTTATAGTGTACTGATTTCAATATCTTTAATCTTTTCTCATTTGTTTTTAAGTATCTT